GTTTGTTTTATCATTATTTTTGGTTTGTCTTGTAAATTCATTATGCGTTGGTTAATAATTTTGTCGATTGTCTCTTTCCTTTGTAGGTCATTTTCAATTTTGAGGGTTTTGTGTGTGATTTTGAATAGTTTTTTGAGTGAGGTGATTTGTTCAGTTTTGTTGTTGTGTGGTAGATTTAGTTCTTTTAGGTTATTTGATATTGCTTGGTCGAGTGGTTTCGGGGATTGAGATGTGAGGTTGTGAATGTAGAATTTGATGGTTTGTAGTTTTTTGTGAAGAGTAATGCCTTTTTTGCTGAAGATTTGTGGTGTGTTTTTTCGGGTTTTGGTTTTTGGGATTAGTTCGTTTAGAGTTTTGGTGATAGTTGTATTGAAGAATTTCCACGTTCCTTGAATATCTAGATCTTCTGGGAATAGTTTTAGTTTGTCGTCGATGATATTGTTTATTTTTTCCCACTTTTCCTTAGTAACTTTATTGAAGTTGAAGTGGATAGTAGGTGTATTTTTGATAGTTTTTGTTATTAAGAAGTTGGAGAGTGTGAGTGTGATAATTTTGTGGTCGCTGTGGAATTCTGGTTCAGTGTTTATTATTTGTGTTTTGGTGGATTGTGAGGCAATGTCATTTGATATCCAAATTTGATCGATGCGACTTTGACCTGTGGGTCCTGAAAAGGTGTACATTGCTTTATTGGGGGAAAAAAGACGGAATATGTCAACATAGTTTCTATTCAGTTTTTTGTATATGGTTGCTTTGTTTTTTGGTTCTGATTTTTGTGTTCTGTCGATTGAGTTAGGTGTGGAGTTGAAATCGCCCATGATGATATGTGAAATGTTTTTTGATAAGTTGTCATTAATAAGCGTTTGGAGATATGAAGTAGTTTTTTTCCTTGTGTTTGTATCGTGTGGAAGATAGACTTGTGTAATGCAAATTTTTATTTTGGGTTTGAATTGAAGGAATATTGAAATAATATATCCTTGAAATTCGGAAGTTTTGTAAAGATGGTTTGAAAGATTTTTGTTTATTATTAAGGAGACTCCCGCTTGGCTTTGATTGAGGTTGCTTGAGTGTATAATGAAGTTATCGATTATGTGAGGGATTTTTTTTGTGGCTTGAAGTTTGGTTTCTGATAAGCCAAAGATATTATAGTTGTTGTTTTTAATATATTGCAAGAGACAGTTTAGTTTTGTGTGATCGTTGAGTCCTCTCGTGTTGAGAGATCCAATTTCCAATGATTGTTGTTTTGTGTTAGTGGTGGTTTTTTTGTGTGTAATTTTTTTGAGGTTTTTTTCGATTGAGAAATTATTGAGCAAGTTATTTGTGGCTATCATTGTTGAAAAAAGTTGAAGAATTTTGTTGATGGTTCAGGAAGTTCAATTTGGATGATATATTCGTTGGGAAGCCTTTGGAAGGCAAAGTGTTCTCTGAGTTTGCGAATTTTTGAGGTAAAGTTGGAGTCGTTAATTATGGGAATATCCATTTCGATTTTGTTTTGGATCAGGTATTTTTTTAGTTCAGATAAGTTTGGGATAGGAGGTTTTCGTTGTATTTGAATCCATTCGTCTGGAATTTTGGAGAATTGATAAAATTGATGTGTTTTGATGACATTTTCTCTGAGGAATTTTTTATTTGTAATTGGATAGTTTGTGTTTGCTTTTTCATTGACGATATTGAAATCTTCTGGGAGAGGTGGTTTGGATGAAGTTGTTTGCACTGCTGTGTTATCCTGTTTTGGAATATTTATCCACTCTTTTGGCAGAGGTGTTTGGAAGAAATATTTTTTTGATAGGAGATTGAGGAGAGGGGGGATGTCCGTAGGGTTTGTTACAGGAAGAGGAATGTTTATTTCTAGGTTTAAAATTTTGTCTGGGGATGGAGGAAGTTTTTTCCTGAAGAAGAAGAAATCATTTGGGAGGAGTTTGAAGTAATAAGTTTTGCGGAGTAGTGTAGTTAATTCTTGAATAGTTAATGTGCTGTCTCTAGGATTGAAAGGAAAGAAGCTTGAATATTTGGGTTCGAGTAGATGATATGTTGAAGGAAGTGGTTTTTTTGGAGGTGGAAGTTCAAAGTAAGATTCGGGGAGCTTGGAGAAGATTTGATATTCTTCGCGCAGATAGTTTTTGTATTCAGAAAGTCTGTTTAACTCGCTACGTTTTTTGATTGGAAAAATTTCTTTATATTTTGGCAAAAGTTCGTTAGGGTTTTCGGGCAGTGGTGGATTGATTTTGAAATAGTTTTCTGGAAGTTTTTGAAATTTGTAATAGGATCTGAGTGTGCGTAGAGTTGGGATGAGTTGGGATTTGTCTTTCATGGGGAGATTACATGGTAGTTTGATTTTAATTTGCGATGGGATTTCAGTTGGGGAGGATGGTAATTCTGGTAGAATATTGTCAGTGTATTCCTTGAGTTTTTCCTTGAGCTCTGTGTGGTCAACATAGGATTGTGGTTTTCTGATAAAGTAGTTGATGAGATAGGTGAGAAGACTGGCGAGTTCATAGAAGGGGATGTTGTTGATGTCGATGGTTCTCAGATAAATAATTGACAAGATAGTACAGACAATAACTCGAATTTTTTTTTTTGTTTCAAAATTTACAAAGTTGAGGTTGCATTCCTTTTTGTATTTTTCTTGGAAATCTTTTTCTATCTCGTTGAATTCTTTTTGATGGGCTGGTTTGATATCTTCTTTGGTTGTGAAAGAATTGAAAAAGGTACGATCTTTGTATTTGAGTTTGTTAAAGATTGGTTGGAAGAAGTAAGGTGGATATTTGGGTAGTTCCTTGATTTTTGTGATTATGTTGATGATTGTGTTAATATCGTTAGGCATTGGGAGCAGTTGGTTGGCTAGTTGTTCTGTCTCTTCACGTAGGGTTTCGTATTGTTTGTTATCACGGATTTGTTGAAGTTCTTCTTGGATTTCACGTTCAAAGGAGGATGACCAGGTGTTTGGTTGAGGAGGTTGGGTGAGTGTAGTGTTAGTACTAGAGAGTTGGTCGAGATCAACAACATTTTTGAAGTTGATTAATTGTGATTGGTCTGTTGGTTGGATTTCACTGATGTCCATGAAGCTTGAGATGGTGAGAGAATTGTTAGGGGAACTGATTAGTTGTTGAGGATGGGACGTGTTCAGTTGTGTGGGATTGGTAGGAGGAGGATCCAAATCGGAGAGTTTCATTGGTTCATCGACTGTTTCACTAATTTCTTTGGGATTGTCAGTTTGGGTTAGATCTGGAGTGATAGACGAGGGGTTTGCATGTGCATGCATTGTGGCTGTTTGATCAACATTCCTTTTTTGGGAGACAAGAGGAGTGATAGACGGGCGATCATTTTCAGGGGTGAGCTGGTTGGGGTTTTTTGTTGTTCCTTGGGAGAGGGAGAGAAATTCTTGTAGGCGATTGTAAAGTTCTGTATTGAGTTGAGTTTTTTCCATTTTTTCAACTATATTGCTGATATATTGAAAGTTGAGGGAGATGTTCCTTTGATTGGAGAGTTGAATACGGGTTTGTGGGAGTCTCTTTTGATCTTTTTTTTTGGTCATTTCTGTTGTAAAGTTGATAATGCGAACATCGTTGGTGGAGTTTGTTTTGACTATTTCTTCAATATTTTTTCCCTCTTTAACGATAAGAAATTGGTTGGGGAAGTTTGTGAGGTTGGTAATGAGGAGAGTTCTTGCAAATTCTGTTCGGATGATTGTATTGTTGTCAAGGTCAAGGTAGTAGATTTGAAAGAGCTGGTTCCAGTCCTGGTGAATGGTGGCATGTAGGAATTGCTTTTTGTTACTGCTTGTTGGTGAATGCTCCATGATTAGGAGTTAGTTATCGGTTGAGAGCACTTGAGAGTGCTTGAGAGCAAAAAGTTTCTTGAAAAAGTTTGTTACCAAATAAGGAAATTTTTAAGTAAAAAATTGATTGTCGGGAAGAGTTTTTTTTTTTTTTAAAACAGTTATTAGTTATATTTATAATTTTTTAATTGAACTATAATTAATACTTAAATTTTAAATTATTATACTAGTTATAAATAAATAAATAAGCAAAATTTTTTTATATAATTTTATAGAGCATTAAATTAAAATTAATTAGAAATAGTTAAATAGAAAGCTATATATATTAATAAATACCAATAAATATGAGTAATTATTTTCAAAGGCGACAAAAATGCTAGATAGACCTAGCTTTTAAACAATGCATATATAGTATAAATTTTAGGATCACGCCAGAAAATTTCCAGTCCGCCTTCGAAAATAATTACCCATATAATTGATTTTCTAATAATATGAACTGTTTTATCTAATCACATTATTTGAAATTCTCACAATTAAATTTATAAGGTATTATTTTTTAATATTATGTTAAATAACTCAGTAAACTCTTTAAATATACTCCCATCAGGACAATAATAAAATTTTTAAAAAATATATATTTATAGAAGATACAAATTTAGAATGGTGTTTATTAAGAGTTCTATATACTTTGAACCAAGCTTGACTATTGTATGCATTTATAAAGAAAAATCATAGCAGGGGTATTTAAAAAGAATATATATATGGAGGTCTCTTTGCATTTTAATTTTACAGTAAGCCACTTATTAAAATATAAAAATATCTGTTGCTTTAATTAGATTATTTGCGAATTTTATTTTTTGAAATTAAAAATAATTTATTAATGTTTATGAATAATTTGAAAATTAATCTATATTTAAAATCAAATCCATTATATATTTATTTGAATAAAAAAAAATCCAATGTAACATTTTGTTGCATAGAACAGTGGTTTAAATAAATCGATGCGGTAAAATATTATTACTTATAATTTTTATAGCTTTACATGCATATTGCAGGCTTTGCATGTCAAATTATAACAAATTTTTTCTCCTATACTAAAGCATCAATGAACAAACTCTTAAAGATTACTAGTATGTAAAAATGTATTTCTTTTAACTATTTGGTTAAATACTTATCCGCAATCAGTTACTATGACTGATTCCGTCGACGTAGTGAACACAGTAGTAGTTACTGTTACAGGATTGGCAAATATCAGATCTATCGAAACGTCTACGGTATAGCTATTATAGTTTAATATGGCAAGGCAAAGAATTAAGCTCGACGGAAATGCCGTCAAGGGCGGGGGATTACATATTTTTACGGGGTCCTTACAAGACCCTTCTAAATAAGCGTAACGGATTGTGACAGAAGGATTCAAGTAATTTGCTAGTTGGGTGTCGTTCATGGAAAATGCTACAATTCCACCATCTGGCTCTGCATTATTCAGGCCTTGAAGGTTCGTTTTGGAAACAGCGCCAAAATTTGGTGTAACTGAAGTGTTCGAAACTACTATGGCCAGGTATGCTTAGGGTTTAAATAAAAATAAATTAAATGGAATTCAATTTTGCAAAATCGAGTTCGTCAAATTGATTACTTACACATATAACTTACTGGTTCGGGACTACAGAGAAACCAAGTATAAGAATAATCTATACTTGCAATACCTTTATATTGCACGCTTTGTGTATTACATAAGTTTCCCTGCAAAAAATAATGATAATTAGATTTTGAAAAGTCAAACATTTCAAATTAAGAAAGCAAGATTATTACGGTAAATAATATTATAAGTATCGAAGTCCATATTAACACAAAGCCGCAAGTTTTATTTAAAGACATTATAAAAGGCGTTAAATAGGTTTTTTCATTTAATAAATTGTACTAGAGGGCATCTTAAAGGAAAGAACCCAGATACATGTACATCATTATGATCTTCTCAAGTCATGATACTTATAGAGACCGCTTAATAACATAACGTCGGACAAAATTTACATATTTACCTCCTTAAGAAGTTTGATGCATATTTTGTCACGTAACCATGCCTTCTTTACACTGAGTTACTCATACTGTAGTACTGAACCGAATGTACAAATGTACACAATAGGCCTGTAAATTTCTAGATTACGTAGTCGAAAGTTTTCAATCATGAATCTGCAGTACGTATTGTATGATTAGTAGTATCCGCAGTATCTGTATGCAAACTTTTGCGTAACGTTCTCGAAGTGAACAAAATACAGTACAGTATAGGCAAAATAACAAGGAAATTGATTTATGTCATAAGAAATATGTAAGGTTTTTTTCATTAAGTTGTTGTCATAATGACGGGCATAACGCTATTCATGAGTCTAAGGTTTTATGTTATGAGTCAGGAATTTTACTTTACCGTTTACTTCACTTACTGACTTTTTTTGGACCACCTCAGAACTCTCTCCTCTGCTAGTTATTTAGTTACTTTAGCCTAGTTCAAGTACGGTTAAAGTTCTAACTCTATGCTTAGATTTTCTTCAATCACTATAACTATTACGCGTAACATATTACTACGTCACGCATCCTATTACTCACAACAAAGAACAAGTAGAAAAATGTTAGAAAGATAAATTGGTTAGCACAATAAATTAATATTGATATAATCGATTTACAATAAAATTTTGAAAAATTTTGTTATAAAAGAATTTTCTAGACCTAAGTTATATCGATTTCAATGTGTATGTAAAAATTTGTGTATATTTTTTTAATGTAATATAAATAAGTTTGAATTAAGAACAATCTTACTAAAATTTGTAATATATAAATTTTTATTCAAGTTAAAAAAATTTTTTTTAATTATTGATTTTATTCAAATAATAGTTAAATAAAATTATTGAATTATTGAAGAATAATTAATTGAATTTAAAAAGATTTAAAAAATTTCTTTTCCATACACGATTTCTTTCATGAAAATTGCTTTTTAGAAAGTTTCTCTTCTTCAAGAAACTCTTGATTAGCCAAATATATTTTTTAATAAGAAACATAATTCAAAAAACTGCCATTATATAGTAGAGTTTTAGCAATGGATCACTCAAGAAAATCTAATACATGCAAGGATATTGGTTAATAACTTGAAAAGAAAAAAATAAATAGAAAATTTTTTTATGTAAAGTTATTTATTTATACTATCCATATAAAAGATATTATATTTTTTATATTTAATTATATTTAATCAAATAACTATTTCAAAAAATAAAATTTTATTTTTTTAATTTTGGTTTTTTGTTTCAGTTTCTATAATTTCTATTCAATTTTTCTTATTAAAAAGTCTATAATATACACTATATAAATTAATATTCGTATTATAAAAAAAAACCAAATAATATAACAATTTATTGGATTGTAAGAACGTGTAATTAATCTTTTGCACAAGTTTTAAATATAAATTGTAACAATATAATTAATCTTATATAACTATATTATAAATTTTATATTCAAGATATAAGCATATATTATTACTAAAAAACCTTAAAAGGTTTTTTTTTTTTTTTTTTTTTTAAGGGCTAAGTTGCGATACACGCGTGGATTTTATTGTTATATCAATTAAGACTACAATTACCATACATGAACAGTCTATTAACTATTGCTAATATTAACTGACGCTACTCGTCCTTTTTACCAGGATACCAACTTACACCATGTAGGTGGGTCCATACCCTGGCTTTTACCACTATGTGGTAGAGGTTTTAAAACTTATTACTTATTATTTAATTTAATATTTATTTATAATATTGGATTCTATATTATTTTGTTTATAAAATAATCAATACTTAACTAAAATAAATAATTTTAATTTGCAACTTATTAAAAATAATTGCAAACTAAACTATTTTTTTTTAATGATTAACATATATTTTGTTTATTAAATATTGTTTTGCACATTTTTAAATACAAGGTACAGCTTTATCTATTCTCCAAACTATCTATTGGTCAGCTTGTTGCCCTTTATACCTTCTATATTATTAATTCCAAAGCTCTAATAGCATAAATAAAGAACAAACTTGCCAGAATATATGCCTTTAAGTTTCTAATACCATTCAATAAACAGGAACCTAGAAGATCATTCAGGTATAGTCAACTGCAAATTAGTTATATTCTATTAACTTTAACTAGGTTTATTAAAATTAAAAAAATAAAAATAGAGATATGTATATATATTTACATGTGAATATCAGTAATAATTTGTAAAAAACCTCTTTAAAACCTGCATGCATATTTATGAAATTATAAAGAAAAAAAAAATCACTTATTGTTCTAAAAAACATATCTTGTATATTATTGTGATTTTTAAATTAATTATAATCAGCCTATACTTTTTATACCTTCTTGATAATTTTATTTAACTTAAAAAATTTTTAACTAGAATTAGTCATTTCCTTCCTGTTTCCAGTGGAATGTTGCTGTTGCTATCTATTATAGTTTAATAAAGTTCAATTGAAAATATCCAATTCCATACAAATAAAAGATTAAATACTGTATCACAAGTAAAGTTAGAGAAAAAAAGTAAAAAATGTTGATTTTTATTTCTATTTATAATTATATATTTTGTTATATCAATATTGTTATTATACTTTGTTAGCCCATATCTTCTAACTATATGAGAAATACCACTTAATTTTTTGTTATTAAGAAGCCTTTAAAAATTTAATAATACTTTTGATTTGTTATCCAAGACAATTTATTTTAGGATAAAGGAAACTAATTTTGATCTTATAGCTTCTTTACCAGCAAGAACTATATCTTCAGAAATAATACAGTATAGTATTACTAACTAATATATTTATGAGTTCTTTAATAAAAGTTCTTTTTCAAAAAATAACTTTTTAAAAAGAAAGTTTTAAAAAGAGTATAGTGAACAAAAAAGAGTTTTTTTTATTTCCAAATTAAAAACAATAGTTATCATTAATGTTTAATATTTATATAAATTTTTAATAAAATTATTTATTAATTATATTTTATAAAAAAATATTTTTATATTAAAATAAAATTAAAAATTCTAATTATTTAATTCAATTCAATTTTTGATTTTTAGATTTATATTAAATTTAATATATGAATTATAATTTATTATTATTATTATTAATGTTTCAAATCTCATTTAAATTTGTGCAAATTGCTTGATTCTAATTTTTAAACCATATGCAAAATATATTCTATAATTTTTTATTTTATTTTATTTTTATTTTTTTAATTCTGCAATTAGAATAAATCGTTTATTTATTTAATTAAATACTGAACTATTACAAGTATAAAAATGCTTGTAAAGTAAAAATTTTCTTAATCTAACTTATTTGTTAACAGTCAAAACCTCTAGATATGATTTATGAGAGTGAAATATTTTTCTTTTGTTGAAAAGAATTGAGAATTCAGTACTTTAATAGAATTAAAACTGCAGATTATCTCTACAGTTATGACCTTAAATTCAAATTGTGTTATTCACCTCCTATAGAAACTATATAAAAGAAAGAAAAAATAAAAAAAAAATAGGAGAGAAAAAACAGTACAATTGTATATATAAGATGATATTGAAAAAAAGATAAAAAAAACTATTATCTATTCTAACTATCATTGAAGAAGTTATTTCAATAAACTTAAAATCCAAGTTTCTTATAATTTCTTACTTCTTACTATCTGTGATTAGTCAAACTATTTAATTTCTATTGAAGTAGTTCATGTTCAAAAATGTTTAAAGGCATTTTCAGAAAAATATTTCTTGAAACTTTATGATTAAAAACTTTTAACCAAAAGAAATATTGGTTTTCTATTGTTGATTTCTCTTCCAAGTTATGTTCTTTTGAAATTATTGCTTTATTCAACTGGTGGATAGTTTTAGAACTTCTTTATCTAATTATTTTTAAGATAAATATTGATACTTCAATTTGTTGTCAAATTGAAATAGAACCTAGACCTTGTTGTTATTTCCTGTTCTTAAGAAAGAATAAGAAAAGAGAAACAAAAAAGGAATCATTATTCTTCTATTACAACTTTTGCTTCTCCTAATATTCTTATACTATTTCTTCAATTAAGAACTATTCAATTCTTTCAGGAATTAATTATATCATCAATATAATGTTGCACAATTAGAAACATATGAGAAGTACTTGTCTTTTTTATTTTTTTGTGATTGACATAATCAATTAATTTGTGACCTTAACCAACTATCTTTCAGAGGATCTAGTGTAATCAAAAATTCAGAATCAAACTGCAGTGGGCAAAATTTTCCAAAAAAACTAGAAAAAATGAAGCATGTTTGAAAAAAAATAAAAAGTCAAAGAAATAATAAAAAGACTAGAGACTTCTTTATTCTTATTTTTTTGGATTTTTGAATCTCTTGGAAACCTTTGAAGGATATTTTTTCTTGTTAGTTTTCTTTTTAAAAAGGTGTTCTTGCCAAAAGTCTTTTAATAAGTTTCTTGTATTTAATTACAAAAATAAATAGAAAAAGTATTTTAAAAAGGAAAAAATAAAACAAGTGATATCTGCTACTTGCTTTGTTGGTTAAAGAATCAGTATTGTTAAGAAAAGTGTATAGACTTTATTATAATAAAGATATAAAATTTTTTAAAAATGTCTGTTTT